GCCTATAATATTTCTCTCAGATCTAAATGTCCATGTGACTCCCTCTCTCCTTTAGGTCTTTGCTCACTGAGACTTAGAGTATTTACTTATTAAGGCTTACAGTAGTTCAAGTTTCAATTTGAAGTATTTTGCTGTTGTACCAGCACCCTGTGCTTTCTTCATAGCACTCAATCACTGTGTGACAAACTATATATGTATGTTTGTATTTGCTGTCTTTCTCCTGTTTTACTAAAATATAGGCTCCATGTAAACAGAATTTTTTAAAATCTGTTTTGTTCACTGCTAGTTTCCCATCATGTAGAACAATGCCTGGCACATAGGAGGTGCTCAGTAAGAATTCATAAAATTAATCAATGTTAGCTTTAGGCTATGGGTACTCATAGAGCCTAGAAGATAGTGTGTGTATACATGTAATTATATGAATATGTATGTGTGCGTGTGTGTGTGTGTGTGTGTGTATGTGTAAATTAAGCCACTCTTTGATTTTTATTGTAAGTGATTGGTGTTAAGTGTATATTATCCTTCCTGTTTAAAAAAATGTAATTGTGTAGAAACTGTCTTTTCTGGGTATATATCTTCATTGCCTAATTTCACTTTGAAAAGTCCTTGTTTCTCATCCCTTAGATGTGAATGCTTTGGATATTTATATATTTTAGCAAAACAAAAAGTCCAAGATCAGTTCATATTTCCAGCTTATGCCAGGTTTCCCTGATTTCTACAAACCTAAACTCATACAGATAAAAACTATATTTGTTGAGCAAATCAAGTTGAAGTTTAACAATAGTGTTTACTAAGGCTGCTATTTGAGAATAGGTGTCTTTTATGTCATTATTTTACAACAGTGTTTACTTATATGAGGCCTTTGTTTTTAGCCACTATATTTGAAACTGAACTACTGATGTAGTTTTGTTCTTTTTTGCCAGTAAAACTTGGGTATACAGATCCCAAGGTTGCCGACTTACCTAACATCCCTTCATTATTTCCCACGTTGGAGCACTGGTATGGATTATCTGAGGTCTGTTTTCATTCTGGGGAAAGCCCTGGAGACTGGGTGCATTGAGGAGCAGGCATTGTCTGCACAATGAATGGGGTAATGAGCTACTGTTGTTTATTCTTCTGTAGTATAATTGGTTGAGTTCAGAAAATAATGTAGCATCTGTTGTTATACTGTACAGGGAAATGTCAAAACAGAAAGCAAGCAGACAGGTGGATTAAGGAAAGAACAGGAGGAGAAACCAGGAAATATCACATTAAGTTTTGATTTGAAGTAGGTGCAAAGGGAATAATAGTGATAAACCAAAAATGACTGTCATCTGTTGAGCACAGTGTTACAGCGTGAGGTTTGATGCTAGGCCCTTCTTAATTGAGTGCTGGCCATGTGTTAGCACTTGCTAAGTGTTTTATAAACATTACTGCATTTTATACAAGGAAGATGTTACTGGCCCTATTTCTTAGGTGAAGTAAGTGAAGTTCATAAAAACTGTCATGTGCTTAATAGCCAGGATTTGAGCCTGTGTCATACCCAAAGCTTTTTCCTAACTATGCATTTAATTATATTCCTACATTACATTTAATTTAAAGATTAAAGTTTTTTAAACTACAGTGTTAAAAGTTAGGATACTGATTAACTTTGAGGAAGAGAATTCTCAGGAAGAGGCAAAAGGATTTCTGAGATGCTCGACCAGGGTGCTGGTTATGTAGGATATGTTCACTCTCTGAAATTTATCAAGTTGTTCACATGATTTGTGTGCTTTTTCATATGGATGTTATATTTCAATAAATACTTTAAAACAGTGACAAAATATATGACTTTAAACAAAGGATAAAGCTTTATGCAATATAGCACTGATTCAAATATAAAAAGAGTTTAAATATGTATTTACATAAAAATACGCATGAAAAGTTGATGGAGAGTGTCTTTAGGAGTGATGAAAAAGTTTTAGAACTAGATAGTGGTTATCGTTGGTAATACAGTATTGTGAATGTACTTAATGCCACTGAATTATACACTTAAAAATGGTTTAAAAATGAGTATGAACACTCAAATGATAGATAGCAGTGGCTATCTCGGTGGTAAATCTAGAAATTGATGTTAATGTTTTTCTTATTATTTAGTCTGTTTTTTACAATGAGTTTTATTACTTTATAATCAAGAACAATGTTTTTTAATCTCAAAGATGGTTTTGAACAACCCCCAGTGTTAGAGACAAATAGTCACATGATCTCATTTAATAGTTTAGAAAAGTATGTAATTCTAATACCCAGAGTTTACCCCTACAAGCTACTCTTGGTTGGCCCTTAAGGGACACGTATGTAGAAAATTAATCTGAAAAGTTAATGCTGGTGGGAGTTAGACCTCAGAGAAAGAAAATTCGGGATGATCAGTTCTTGGTTACTAGAAGTAGAGCCCATAAGATTCAGATTCTTTTAGCATTTATTGAGCACCTACTGTGTGCTTATTACCATACTAAGCACTTTAACAAGCATTATTTTAGTTAACATGATAGTTTTTTCCGTCTCTTATGAATTACATATTGAGCATCTATTTTGTGCTACGCACTACACTTGGAATAAGAAATAAGACATGTTTCCACACCCTAATGGAATGGGAAAGCCAGACAGTAAACAAATAACTATGATACAGTATAGGGAATACTGTGGTAGACAAAGAACAACTGGAATTTAATTTTTATATACAGAGGATCACCTATTCATTGGGTTATTAATATATGACAGTTACTAAAATAGTTTAATATTTGAAATATTCTATTTGAACTCATTGCTGACCCAGAACACCAATGTTAGATAAACTTCTGCTTATGCTATCAAGAAAAAGCAAAAGTAATTAGTTTAACGTCCTGTTTTAATTTTTGAACTGTACTTCTTATGTCTCCATGTCTGGATATCAGCTTCCTCATATAAAAAATGAGAGTGTAAGACTATGTAACCGGTGCAACCCAAGCAACCATTAACTGAAGCCTATTATGTATCAGACATCACATTGGGAACTTTACATATATCATATATATAATTCCCAACTTTATAATCCTCTGTAAGGTAGGTGATGTTATCCAGTGCCTCCAGAAGGAAAATGACCTCAGAGTCCTAGAAAAGGCTAGCTTTCTCTGTATGCTGCAGAAATTTTTAATGCTTTTTAGAAAATACTTCAGCATTAGAACTAATCAGTTTCTCCTGAATGACACAGAAATTAATTTCTTGTGTATACCGGTGTCTGGATAAACCTTTTTTTTTCAGTTGGTTATTTTAAACATATTTTAACAGATAATCCATTTACATAAGTCAGAAGTCAAAAATATAAAAAGGCATATTCAGAAAATACTCATTGTCACTTCTGCCACCCTATTTCCTCCACCGTCTCTATAAGTTACCATTTTTTTGTGTCTTTTTATTTGTGGAAGTTTATTTATTGAACTTTATGTTTTCCAAAGAACCAGCTTATTTATTGGTTAACTAGTTTTCCTTCTTTTTTAAATACATTCTTTTATACTTTTAGCTTTATTAATTATTTTCTTCTCAGCTTTCTTCCCATTTATTTTATCAGCTTTTTTCCCTGGTTTTTTTAGTGTGATTCTTAATTAACTTATTTTTATTCTTTCTTTTTGAATGATATAAGGATTTTAAGGCTATAAATTTCCTCCGAACACTGCTTTAAGTGAATCCCATAGATTCCAATATGAAGCATTTCAACAATCATTATTTTCTAGATATTCTGTAGTCTTGATTTGTATTTCCTTTTTAACCTAAGAATGGTTTAATAGAGTCTTTTTATGTTTTTCCTTCAGTTGGAAGAGTGACACCAACTTTGAAAATTGCCGTTGAGGACTTAAAGAACATAAATTCCAATTTCTCTCACTCACATTACTTGATTATAATAGTTGTGGATTAATTGGGGGTAAATTTTGTTTTTCTGTTGCTGACAAATTGGGAACATTGAAATGTCAAAGTAACCAGGAATAGAATGTAACTGGGAAGCTAAGCACATTAATACCAGGCTTACTTACCTAAGGAACCTCCCAGAGTGCTAAAGACTCTCTAACCTTCCAATGGAATATGGCAAATGTGAAACAGTGCAATACACTGTTTTACATGTAGGTTGAGAACTAGGAAACCTGGCTTCAAGCACAATTCTAGCCATGAGATCTCTCAACAGTTTGCTCCACCTATTTGCGTCTATATTTTAACCTATAAAATGAAGGGTTTGGGCCATCTCTGGCAATCTGCACTTGGCCCAATTCTACAGCAGGTTAGTAGCAAAGACCATGGACTCCTGCCTCCAATAAATCTAAAATTTCAATTTCTTTCTATTATGTTTTATTCCATTGTCTTTAGTGTGACAAAATATAACAGAAATTTGCCTTTTCTATCACTTCAAGTGTACAATTCAGTGACACTAATTACATTCACTATGTTGTACAACCATCACCATATCTATTTCCAAAAATTTTCATCACTCCACACAGAATCTTTCCATTCCATTTCGATGTTAATATATATATCCAGTATTCTACAACTTTAAGTCATTTCTACTTAGGAAATGCATGTTTTTCAAATATACATAGTTTTGTGTGTGGGTGCGTGTATGTGTGTGTATGTGTGTTGTAAATGCTTCGAATAGCTTTAAGTCATACCCTAGAGAGGAAGCAACTGGGTATTTGATACCTGTTTCTTCAATTACAAATACCCAAGCCCTTAAGTAAAAAAAACAATTAAATTACCTTTCTTTTCTATGAAAGTCACCTATCAGTTTAATAATATGTGTCATCAAGGTGGGATTTGTTTTAATTAATTGCCTGTTGGGCTAATATTAAGAAAATGAAAAATATGATTCTACTGTTCAAGCATTAGGCTTGGTTAATAAATGAGCAATAACTTTTTGATGAGTTTCTAGAAGACAGCAGCTTTTTTCTAGTCTCTCCCCCCGCCACTCCCCACAATCTCATCCATCACATAGTCTAACACCTGGTTTTTGCCCTCCTTAGGCCATCCGGCTCTCCTTAGAGCAGGCCCTGCCTCCAGAGCCAAAGGAAGAAGATGCTGAGCCTGTGAGCAAACTGCGGATCCGAACCCCCAGTGGCGAGTTCCTTGAGCGGCGTTTCCTGGCCAGCAATAAGCTCCAGATTGTCTTTGATTTTGTAGCATCCAAAGGATTTCCATGGGACGAGTTCAAGTTACTGAGTACCTTTCCTAGGAGAGACGTAAGTTCCCATGCCTATCTTGGGAAGTGTGTCCAGGCGGGAGATATCCCATCATTAGGACTGGACAAGGTAGTCCAAGGAAAGAAAGAACTATAGTACAGCCTGCTACAAGATCACACACCCAGGCATTCTTCATTGGTCTGCACACCTTTCTCTCCGCAGCCTTTGGAGAAGGTGTGGCTTCCCAGGCCAGCAGACATGTGCCCCAGTAGCCTATGTAAGAAATCAGGTACTAGGTGTTTCTCCCTTCCTAGCTATTTCCCCTGTTCCAGCATTCATGCAGACTTTCCCAAGAACTAATCTCCGTAACCCTCAGAGTAGACCTGAAAATTGCGTGTTTAACGGCCTAACAGTTAGATCAGAATTAATGATTATCAGTTTACTAAGAACGAGTCATGCTAAACCAAGAGTATTTGTGTGATTCGATAGTTCTTATTAGCCTGGGAAGTCAGGGAAGGTGACCTATATTCACTGTGTAACTGTATTTCAGCAAGATATTTAATAGTCTCTCCCAGTATTCTGGAGCGAAGTAGAGAGATAAATTTATAGTTAGGTAGATTCATTGATGATGAAATGGTAGTGTCTAGAAAGTGTTGACCAAGAGACTTCCCTCTCCATAGAGGGAAACAAGAGGTTCTATATTTAATTCTTTATTACTCACCATGCTTATTGGCAACTTAAATGAAGATTTTATCAGATTTATGGATTATGAAAAATAAGATTTAAGAAAACCTTAAAATACTATAACAATAACCAAAAATGAACCTAGAGAAATTTACAGAAATATAAAGAGTTAGTAAAAGAGATTTCCTGCATTAGGTTTAGAGAATCATTTGCTCAAGTTTGGGATGGAAAGATGATGCTTTAGTAGAGATTGTGGTTGAATTAAGCTGAATATACAGTAACAGTGTGTTGTGACTGCCAACAAAAACATAGCTGCATTTTGAGAAGTTTAATCCCATAATTCCAACAAGAGAATAATTTGAAGGCCCTATTCCACTCTGTACTAAGATACATTACCCCTGAAAGAGTCCTTAGACCCCACGCTGAAACTCTGTGCTAAAGCCTAAGGAAACAGGAGCATGAGTGGAGCAGGGCTGGTGGGAACGTGAGGGAACTAGAAATCGTATCATTTGAGGAACATTCTTCTAGAGAAGAAAAGGCCATGGGAGATGTCATTGTTGTCTTCAGCTCCTTGAGGGCCTGCCGTGAAAAAGAGGGATCTGACTTTTCGAGGCTCCTAGAACAGAACTGGAACCAATGAGTTGAGAGTGCAAATTTGGCCCCATGTAAGAAAAAGTATTTTCTAAGAAAGGAAAAGTTCTTGTGTTGTAAAGTAGTGATTTTCTTATCATTGGATGTAACCCAACACTACTGAATGATTCTTTTTCAGCCATAATGGATATATGTGGAGATGAATACATTCCTAGTATTCCTACTTTATATGGGATAGAGCTTGGACTAGCTTAAAGATACATAGAAAATCTTAATATTCTGTGATTTCATTATGATCTAGTAATATGAGGTCTAGTAACTTGAACTTTATCTAACACACAAAAACCAAAAATTTGGTTAAGATTTACCTTAGTCCCTCACATTGGCTACCAGATTTGCAGGATAAAGACAGAAACCAGTGGTATGTTTAGCTCCACCACTCAGCCAAAATTCCCTTAGGTGGCATGAGGATCCTACCACTTCCATCTAAATCAAGGAGACTAGAGTGAACCCCA